ACTTCATCCATAGTCGACTTGGATCAATCAATTCGTTACCGTTTGATGTTGTTAATTGAACGTAATCCTGAAATGTATTGTAAATTATGTAATTAAAGAATCTGTGTGTTTTGGTTAATGACTCAAAGTGCTATTCGTAATTAGGCGAGAATTGATTTTAACCAATTACAAAATACTTTTATTCTTGAGAAATCGTGCTGGCTGTTACTCGAACAGAGTTGTTGAGGGGCATTTCATCAGCATACTTCTAGATGAGAAAAACTGAATTAAAACATCAATCTAGGATTTCAGAATGTTTTCACTGCTACGATTAAAGTAAAAAATATGGGTAATTCGATTTCAACAGGAGGCAGTTAAGACTAAAAATAATGTGGCAAACTCTGCTCTAGATAGGGAAGCTAAGATATTTCAGACAGTTGATACGAAACTGATAAAGATTTAATGACAAAGTCTAAAACTTTCAAATCAACAAATTAGAAATTTAAATAATTTTGTCATTTGTTAACATCATTAGCAATAATAAGTTCAAAATTAGATTAAACCTAGAGACATCGTTAAAATGAATTTTATTATTTTGAGCTGGATCAATTAATCTCGCAGGCACTTTATAAGGTACACATGAAATGAAGATACAACATTTTTTAACTTCCTGATCATTATCCCTGCCATGTTTGGGACAGTGGGAGGAGCCTTTTCTGGGCGTAATCCTTCACCAAACAAAACGGCAGCAGCAGCAGCAGCAGCAGCAGAATTAATATCACGGCAAACAGTTGGTTGATGGTGTTTAAAAGGTAGTGCCTGGTCCATCTCCAAATGCTTGGGATAATTGTCGAAGGATTTCCTAGATGGCAAATGGTTTCAAACTAAAAGTACACACTACCGTTTGTAATTTAGGCAGAAATGACACCTCTAAAATGAAATTGGCTATTACACAGAGGACGGAGATTTCGAGACAGTATAGTGACATGCAGTACTCTTTACACTAAAGTGCAGGTGGAATAGTTTTACAACTTCACACCAACTTAAGTTTTTATTAAAGAGGTATCTCCGACTTTTTTTCAGTATTCACGAAATAAATACTACCTGAGTTGCCGTGGCATGTTTGAATACTGCCATTTCTGCTTCCTGTGTATTCTCATGTAAATTTCAGCCCTAATGTAATGAATGTTTTCTTTATAAGTACCGATCAGTCTCAAAGTTACCCGACAAAGTACCCGGCGTTTATTTGAATGTGAATTTACTGAGGGCTATAATGAAGCGTGGAGGTATAGTGTCTACACAATACCTGTGCCTTGTTGTACCGTGATACAGGCCACGTAATTGCAAGACCTAAGGAAATAAAGATTCAAGTGCATGTTTTAGGGCTGGCTAGGAAAAAAACGGAAGAAATTGCACCAACAGTTAAATATCTTTTGCACAATATATGTCTTTATAAGAGGGTGTTTTTTTTTCAATACGCTTTTATATATTAAGATTATATATATTAAGAGCAAATTCAATAATGAAATCACCAAGTAATAAGGTTTTGAATAAACATTTGATCACGACAGGAAATTATTGACAGGTTTTATTCTCACGTCTGTGTTGAGTCAATGTTGTTTTGTTGTATGGAATATGGTTATGTGATTTCCTGCCCAGGTTAGATATGAATCTTTTGTAAGTTTTCTATCGCCTCTATATTCTGTCAAAACAACAACAGGCAGACTTTCCGGGTTTAGACATAGGAGAAAGGTCCTCTGCTAGTGAAGAAAGAACATAATTAATTCATATGTTCATTCACGGGCAAATAAGTTTTTCAGCACACCATTAACTACACATAATGAAAAACAGAGTATATTTTATAGAAAGTTCACAGAACTATTTGTCAAAGTTTTAAATTGTTTAGATTCTGTCTATAAATTGTTGAAAAATGACAATGATTTTCAATTCTTTTGAAGTTGATTACAGTTCATAATCTGCCTGAAAACTAAACTCTGTATCGTTAGTAAATCTTCATTAACTGGATTCTGCATGGACCCCCCCCCCCCTGGATTTTAGCCAAGTGATATGTATACATATAACTTGTGGTGTTTCTAAACTAAATTCTCTGTTATGAGGACATATCTAAACCGAAGCCTATATTATAAGGAAGGCTAATAATCTGATTTCAGCAAAAATTAAATAAATAAAATGTTCATTAATTTAAAATTGGGCACTACAGCTGCTTGTGTTTCTTGCCTTGATTTAATGGCTCTTTTCCCTTAAATACTTAGTTACACCATTCGTCTCCTTGGTGTTGTATCCCTAGTGTTGTATCCATATAGTGTTGTATCTATCCCTAGTGTTGTATCCCTAATGTTGTATCCCTATAGTGTTGTATCCCTATAGTGTTGTATCCGTAGTGTTGTATCTATCCCTAGTGTTGTATCCCTAGTGTTGTATCTATCCCTAGTGTTGTATCCCTATAGTGTTGTATCCCCAGTGTTGTATCCCTATAGTGTTGTATCCCTAGTGTTGTATCCCTAGTGTTGTATCTATCCCTAGTGTTGTATCCTATTGTGTTGTATCCCTAGTGTTGTATCTATCCATAGTGTTGTATCTATCCATAGTGTTGTATCCCTATAGTGTTGTATCCCTAGTGTTGTATCCATATAGTGTTGTATCCCTATAGTGTTGTATCCCTATAGTGTTGTATCCCCAGTGTTGTACCTATAGTGTTGTATCCCTAGTGTTGTATCCCTAGTGTTGTATCTATCCCTAGTGTTGTATCCTATTGTGTTGTATCCCTAGTGTTGTATCCATCCATAGTGTTGTATCTATCCATAGTGTTGTATCCCTATTGTGTTGTATCCCTAGTGTTGTATCTATCCATAGTGTTGTATCCCTATAGTGTTGTATCCCTAGTGTTGTATCTATCCCTAGTGTTGTATCCCTATAGTGTTGTATCCCTAATTTTGTATCCATATATTGTTGTATCCCTATAGTGTTGTATCCTACAGTGTTGTATCCCTAGTGTTGTATCTATCCCTAGTGTTGTAGCCCTATAGTGTTGTATCCCTAATGTTGTATCCATATAGTGTGGTATCCCTATAGTGTTGTATCCCTAGTGTTGTATCCCTATATTGTTGTATCCCTGGTGTTGTATCCCTAAAGTGTTGTATCCCTAGTGTTGTATCCCTATAGTGTTGTATCCCCAGTGTTGTATCCCTATAGTGTTGTATCCCTAATGTTGTATCCATATATTGTTGTATCCCTATAGTGTTGTATCCTATAGTGTTGTATCCCTAGTGTTGTATCTATCCCTGGTGTTGTATCCCTATAGTGTTGTATCCCTAGTGTTGTATCCCTAGTGTTGTATCCCTAGTGTTGTATCCCCATAGTGTTGTATACCTAGTGTTGTATCCCTAGTGTTGTATCCCTATATTGTTGTATCCCTGGTGTTGTATCCCTAAAGTGTTGTATCCCTAGTGTTGTATCCCTATAGTGTTGTATCTATCCCTAGTGTTGTATCCCTAGTGTTGTATCTATCCATATAGTGTTGTATCTATCCCTAGTGTTGTATCTATCCCTACAGTGTTGTGTCTATCCCTAGTGTTGTATCCCTAGTGTTATATCTATCCCTACAGTGTTGTATCTATCCCTAGTGTTGTATCCCTATAGTGTCGACTTGGTATCCCTTTCCACTGAACCTTTTGTACCTATCTTATGATGAAAGAAACTTTTGCGATGTCACAAACAGATTATTGGTAATTTGACACGAGCCAGGCGTCATTTATGATGTGACACAGATGAACACAGAATGCATGTCAACTCAGTTGCTTGGAAATATTTTGAGGGGCTCTGTTTGGAAGAGCTATGGGGAGGGGGACAAACTAGAGTAGAGGGAATGGAGGGAGGGAGGGAGGAGAGTTGTAGTGGAGTGGGGGAAGTTTTAGCAGGCTGACACAACAGTCTGGGAGTGACACAATATTCATTTTGACAGATCTAAGCTTTTCACAGTGAGGCTAAACTAATCATGTGACTTGTTAGTGGTGATGTATATGGAAGTGTGGGAACCGATGACAAGTTCTCATCACTTTTTAACTACAGCTATGTTTGGTCTTCTTGTTTACTCCAAAATATAAAGTCTACACACTTTAACACACACATGCACACACCTGTCTAGAGGGGACAATGCAGTCATGCATATATATTTTACCATTGCAGAAAGACTGATAGAATTAAACAGTTTGAATGCAACAGCATTACTGCTTTTACAAATGAAGCTAACCAGACCTAATCTGGTTGCTGTTATAAGTCTTGTGCTATAATGTATGGTGTAGTCCCTGTGTACAAGGCCCCGTGATCCTCTGTCACAGGACCGGCTGGTCCCTTTACAGCCCTTTGAAGGGCCACAATGATCATCTCTCACCTCCAGGCCAATCTGACCCACCCAGGCTGCATGCAGTAGCTCTCACCCTATCAAAGGCCTCACAGTGTGTGCAATAATGACTTTATTAGATGTAGATAAACAACCTGCTGGGCCTGCTCTTCCCTATAGTATTAACAGCTTCACAGGGCTACCATTTACACTGCCTCATGCAAAAAACTGTGCACATGTACCATAGATTATAAAAACTTTGTTCACCATAAAATCACTTACCCTGGTTTATTTTGATATGAATTTAAAACAATGAAATTCAATTTGAAAAGGACCCAGTTTGGTGTCCGGAGATTAGCTGCTGCAGCAAGCCCAGTGGTTTAGGTTTAGTAGCTATCAGTGGTAAGTTAGTAAGATAGCACATACTGGGACCTGCCTTGTTATCCCCTAGATCACCCACAAATAGATATAGCCCACTGTTCATTCAATAATTTGATCTGAATCTTGAGAGATTACTCTTGGATCCAGATCTACAGGCAGACTAAAGAGGTCGTTAGAAACAGGTCAAAGGCCACTTCAATTTTTTCAAACAAGAAGTATAAAGACTTCGGTGTACACGTGTAGTTGGCGTAGATTATGTAAAGTGAGCTTGGGACTGGGTTTGAGATAACGATATAGATGCGTACCTGTGTGGTCGACAATAAGGTAACTGTGCATATATTGAGGTAGATGTTTTATCATACTGTAACCGTTAGATTCCATGCGGCCAGATATGCAGTATGACTCACGGTTCACAGCAATGACTACTATAGGTAGCTTACTTCAGCCACGCTGTGTCACTGCTGATTTAAAAAAAATAAGTCTGAGTCTATTGAGTGTTTGAGTCACAAGCTGTTTTGTCTGGTGCTGTGTCGTCTCGGGACCTTGTCATCATTCTTGCAGGGCTCGGCTGTTGCTTCGTTCCTTTATTTATTCCTCTGTTTAAGTGGATCTATATCCGTGTGTTAGCCCATCACGAATGTGTGTACTTCTTCCAAGAAGTCTATACCCTCTCCATAAAGCATATTAGCGGTGACGTCACGGACGACACCTGAACAGCGAGATTTGAACTGGGACAGTGGCGTGTGATAAGACGGACAGACATGTGCTGGAAAGGTGCATCATGTGGTCTTTGTGAGGCATTTTTACAAAACTTGTGATAAGGAAAGCTAATGGTCTTCTGCATGTCTACAAGGTAAGCTATATGTCTGGTAGCTATTCTCTCCTAACTGCCGGTCCGTTTGAAAAGAGTTTCCTAAAACTTCAAAAACACATGTCGGAGCTTACAAAATATCTTAATTTGAATTTTTCTGAACTGAATTTTCACTGCACTATAGAATTTGAAAATGCAGAGAGAAAAAAAAAATTGTGGAGAACATGATGTGGCCGGCCTCAAAGGGTGGTCAATTCATTGCTTGCATTTTTACAGTTTATTAAAATATCCTTTTACTGTACAAAATGCATGTATTGTTTCAGTTGATGTAAGTGTTTATTTCAGTTTAAATTGAAGCTGGGAGCAGACATTTTATGGTTCTTTGTCCCATTATTATGATATAAAGGTCTGCCATGCAGTTGCTCTCTGGTGACAGTCGTGTGAGATGTCACAATCAGAACGTTCTGTACAAATTCTCTATTGGGATATCTTTAAGTATTGAAATAAAATTGGATATGATAAAGTCAGTTTCTCAGACGGCAGTATTGATCCTAGTCAAGAAGAAGCTGCTGATTAATTTATCTCGTTTGATGTTTCTTTCAGTGTTATGTAACATTAACAGTCGACATATCAAAATATTTAGTTTAAATGAAAACAATATTAAAACTGTTAGTTTGTAGCTGTGTATTTCAATACAGTATTGACAAAAAAACTATTAGCAACATTAATTCTAAATCTGTTTCATTGGTTGGAAAATGAGTCAAATATAATTATAGACATTTTCAGTATGTTATTCCTGGGAGCCAATACGACCTCATAATCACATAACAATTTCAGAAATTTGATTTCCAGTAAAATTTAATTACGTTTCCATTTGTTGGCTCTCTGACTATTCTAGGCTGTTCCTTGGCATGTGGATATGCCGTTGACATGTCAGGTTGCACTCTAAAGCATTTCCGTTGAATACCAAGCTAAAGTACAGTTTGGCGCATATTTCTATTTCGGTGTTTCGCGAAATATTAATGTATTTTCTTAGCGAGAACTTTCTTTATCCTTGGAATCCAATGCAGGTCTCTATCCAATTATCTTCTAAGTCAGAGGCAATTAGATTTTCAAACTGTATTTCTGGAGAGATAGATTTTAAAAATTTCAATATGAATGTTGTATTAAGGACTTTATCGCGGGATGTAGATAAATATCGCTATTTAGTTCCACAGATATATGCACACCTTTTAAAATAGATACCGGCTTTTATTACAAAAGTAGTCGATAAAATGCTTGAGTCTAATACATATACTAAGTAGAGAAATATTCGGTACATGTTGATTTCAAGCTTGCCGGTCCTTCTGGCTCCTCCGGAAAGGAAAGCAGCCAGTGATTATGGTCAGGGCCACCCAAGTTTACAACTCTATCTCATAATGGTGAGAATTTTCTGTAAAAGCCTGCAAGCTTACATACTGTGTTAACAAAATGAACTTGATGGGATATTTATTTGACACATATTAAGTTATATTTGATATCATGTGTATTTTCTTGATATTTCTTTTTAATGAAAAAATCCTTTTGATTTTATTTTTATAAAAGTGGATATTGATGAACTTCCATACAGTGGGTTGTTTAAGTATGGCTTGCTTTCACTTTCTACTGCATGGCAAAATGGAAATGATTGAATTGCTGCAAATATGAACTTTTAGACAATTTTTTGTCAGATAGAGATAACTATAGACACTTTGTACACATTTCAAGATTTTTGCCTCACAAGAAGGCATTATTCCTCGGTAAAGTGTTTAATTTTCAATCCAAACACGTCGCCTTTCTTGGAGGGTATTTGGAGGTAACTAAGCAATGGACTCTCCAGTTCTCAGATAACGATGAGGTAAATTCAACAATTCTTTTGTATATAAAATAGTCAACATATCCTTTAAAACATTGAATTGATAGTGAGACAACCAGATTAGTGGTGGCTGGATAGTGGGACAACTTAACTACTGGTGGCTGGATAGTTGGACAACCAGATAAGAGGAACAACCAGATTTGGACAAGCAGATTAGTGATGGCTAGATAGTGGGACAAGTAGATTAGTGGTGGCTGGATATTAGGACAACCAGATTAGGAGAGGACCCCACCCCATCAAACCAAGGGGGGAACCCAACCCATCAAACCAAGGAGAGGACCCCACCCCATCAAACCAAGGGGGGAACCCAACCCATCAAACCAAGGAGAGGACCCCACCCCATCAAACCAAGGGGGGAACCCAACCCATCAAACCAAGGAGAGGACCCCACCCCATCAAACCAAGGGGGGAACCCAACCCATCAAACCAAGGAGAGGACCCCAACCCATCAAACCAAGGGGGGAACCCAACCCATCAAACCAAGGAGAGGACCCCACCCCATCAAACCAAGGGGGGAACCCAACCCATCAAACCAAGGAGAGGACCCCACCCCATCAAACCAAGGGGGGAACCCAACCCATCAAACCAAGGAGAGGACCCCACCCCATCAAACCAAGGGGGGAACCCAACCCATCAAACCAAGGAGAGGACCCCACCCCATCAAACCAAGGGGGGAACCCAACCCATCAAACCAAGGAGAGGACCCCACCCCATCAAACCAAGGGGGGAACCCAACCAATCAAACCAAGGAGAGGACCCCACCCCATCAAACCAAGGGGGGACCCCAACCCATCAAACCAAGGAGAGGACCCCAACCCATCAAACCAAGGAGAGGACCCCACCCCATTAAACCAAGGAGAGTACCCCGACCCATCAAACCAAGGAGAGGACCCCACCCCATCAAACCAAGGAGAGGACCCAAACCCATCAGACCAGGGAGAGGGCCCTGCCTCATCAGACCAGGGAGAGGCACCCCACCCCATCAGATCAGGGAGAGGGTCCTGCCCCATCAGACCAGGGAGAGGACCCCGCCCCATCAGACCAGGGAGAGGGCGGCCCACCCCATCAGACCAGGGAGAGGACCCCGCCCCATCAGACCAGGGAGAGGGACCCACCCCATCAGATCAGGGAGAGGGCGGCCCACCCCATCAGACCAGGGAGAGGACCCCACCCCATCAGACCAGGGAGAGGGCGGCCCACCCCATCAGACCAGGGAGAGGACCCCGCCCCATCAGACCAGGGAGAGGGCACCCCATCAGACCAGGGACAGGGCCCTGCCCCATCAGACCAGGGAGAGGGCCCCGCCCCATCAGATCAGGGAGAGGGCCCTGCCCCATCAGACCAGGGAGAGGGCCTCACCCCATCAGATCAGGGAGAGGGCCCCGCCCCATCAGACCAGGGAGAGGGCCCCATCCCATCAGACCAGGGAGAGGACCCCGCCCCATCAGACCAGGGAGAGGACCCCGCCCCATCAGACCAGGGAGAGGGCCCC